TTAGTTTAACATGGGGTAAACCCCTTGAAATGATTTACAAGATTTTACGTACATCTTTAGTCTTCTGGAGAGTTTGTGGTTTTCATCACATTCTTGAAGGAATCTATGACTCAAGTAGTTTTAAAGGATCATTGCCTTGTGCGATATTAGAGTAATTTTAGCTTTTTTTGTATTAATAAAAAGGTTTAGGGGTGCCTGGGTAGCTCAGTGGGTCAAAGCCTCTGCCTTCGGCTCAGGTCATGGTCCCCAGGGTCCTGGGATTGAGTCCCACATCAGGCTCTCTGCTCAGCGGGGAGGCTGCTTCCTCCTCACTCTCTGCCTGCCTCTCTGCCTACTTGTGATCTCTGTCAAATAAATAAATAAATCTTTAAAAAATAAATAAATAAAAAATAAAAAGGTTTAGAGTCTAAGCCCAATTTGTTATTTATTCTGCATTGCAAGAATTGGAGGGTTGGGTGTCGATTAGCTTAAGGGTAAAACTCCCTACCATTCAGTAGATGCTTAACAAAATATCTACTGTGGGATAGGCAATGGGGGTCCTGGCATAAATATGATCGTTTCTCTGGACACAGACCCTAAACAGAAAATTAGAATATCTTACCTGAAAGTAGTAGTTCTCAAACATGTAGATGATGAATCAACTAGTCTACTTGTAAAATACTGGCCTTTCTCAGGTTCCTTCCCCTGACCCTGAGACTTTGATTCATTAGTTCTGGAATGAGTCTTGGAATCCCCCCTCCCCCGCAAGGATTCTGATGAAGTGTTGTTATACACATTCTGAGAAGCATGGTAAAGTCTTTTGTAATACTACGTGACTGCTCCTCTGTATTCTACATTCAGGCAATCTAATTTATTTTCTCCTCTGAACAGTGCTTTTTCCCCCATGGTACCAGCTAAGAAACTGAAACACAGAACAGTTGAGTCGACTTGCCCACAGTCACACGGTTAGCGCTAGAACCAGGGTTCAAGGGCAGAAAGCTACGGGTGCAGGCTGGTGTCTCCCCTATGTGTATGTAGGTAGCCTCCCAGCCATGCAGAGATATGGGAAGAGCTTATCCTGACCCTCAGTGGTTCTCGTTTCCAGGGTCTCCCTGTTAAATTTATGGTTAGTCTGCTGGTCTACTGCTCACCTCAGGCAAGACCACAACTTAAGGTTGGTGGAGCTGTGGGCTTTCCCCATTCATTTCCTCCCAAGTTTGCAATTTTTATTGCCAGCGCCATTAAGAATGAACTTTTTGCCATCTATTGCAAATCAAGTTAGCTCTCTCCAGCAGTGGAGCTCCTGGCCCAGTGTGGCCCCATCCCAGGTGGGGAGTCTGTGGGGTTTGGGAGATCAGAAAAGCTTCTGGAAAGAATGCAACAGACTCCCACTACTCCTGCCCACAATTTGCAGAGTTTTGAAAAATGAATAAGTGATTCTTAGTTTGTTGTTTGCCTTTGGTCAATTTCCAGAGTCCTCAAATGATTGCTTGGCAATTTTTTCCAGTTTACTTTTTTTTTGGCGCGGTGGGCAGTGGGGGCAGTGAGATTTGACATCTTCATTCTATCATCGCTAGAATCCCAGCTGTCCATTTTTTCAGGTCTGGAATTTGATTTTAGCCCACTTACCATCTATCTAATAAATTATCTAATAAATTAGTAATTGGGTGCTGTTTAATGGGTGCTGTCAGAAAACACAAGACTCCCAGCACAGAAACAAAGGACTTGGTTACTCATGGCACAGCAACAAGTGTAACCATCAGCATATTTGCAGTGGTTCTTGGTCACACGTCCCATGAGGGTGACACGAAGAGGCTTAGGTGGGTGCTACACACGCAGTGGGTTTGGGTCATGTCTGAAGAACATGGAACTTGAGGAACCCACCACTTTTAAAGCAAGCAGTAAGCAAGCCTGTTCTTTGTCCTGGAGGGGGACATCCCCTCATGTCTCAAGGTTGCTCACTATAAACACCAGCCTGGGAAATGGCTCAGTTAAGGAGTAGTCAGGGTCTTGCGTTCTCGATGAACCCAGCAAGACACGCAGGAACATGAGAGGCAGAGGCACATGATAACTGTCTCTCCCAGCTCATTTTACCTAGTTTATTGGAATGAAGTTGTTAATAATATCTTTCATCTTTTAAATTTCTTACAATTTGTAGTATAGCAGTGCTTCCTTTTTACTTCTAGTATGATTTGTGTCTTTCTGTCCCTTTTTTTTCCTGAGTAGTTTTACCAGTACTTACTAATTCTATTAGTCTTTTCCAAGAACTATCTTTTACTCTTGTTGATCTTCAGTTACTTTTTCCTATTTCTTTGCCTTCTGGTCTTATTTTCATTATTTACATTTTTTTTCTCTCTTTGAATTTAATTTCCTGTCCCCCCCCACACCCCCAATTTCTTGTTATGGATGTTTAGAAAGTTGATTCTCTGGCTTTGTTTTTCTTTTTCTTTTCTTTCTTTCTTTCTTTTTTTTTTTTTAATTGGCTTTGTTTTCTAATACATACTTTTAAGATTAGAAATTCCCCTCTAGGGGCACCTGGGTGGCTCAGTGGGTTGGGGCCTTTGCCTTCGGCTTGGGTCATGATCCCGGGGTCCTGGGATGGAGCCCCCGGCGGGGGGGGGTCTCTGCCCAGCAGGGAGCCTGCTTCCCCCTCTCTCTCTGCCTGCCTCTCTACTTGTGCGCTCACTCTCTCTCTCTGTCAAATAAATAAAAAAATCTTTAAAAAAAAAATTCCCCTCTAGTTATATTTTTAGTTGTATCCCACAAGGTTTAATAAATGGTATTTTTAGTAATACCTAGACCAAAATCTGTATTTGTTTTTTAATTTGTTTTGATTTTTCTTTGTTGAGATGTGCTCTGTGGCCAAAAATATGATCTAGTTTTGTTACTGTCTGATTTTGTTAATGTTCCCTGTGTACTTCAATATGTATCCTAAAATTGTATTGGTTGCCATAATCTATGAATGTCAATCAGGTCAAGTTCCTTAATCATATTCAAGTCATTTCCATCCTTACCTAGTTATGTGTGGGTATGCTGGGCATACGTTAGATATCCAGGAAAATGGTGGAGTAAGCTAAAGAGGTCAGAGGTTCAAGATCCTGAAAACACAGCATTTAATGCCAAACATTTCAGGGGTGTGAAGCCACAAGAGAAACATTTTACATGTGGGGAGGAGGCATCTCTTCCCAGATTTAATTAGCACTCTTCTCCACTTTGCTCATATCAGTCATTCATTCACCAGGACCAATGACTGCATCTTGAGTTGCCTTACTTGTTCTTGCGTCTTTTGTCTTTCTTTTGGACTAGAATTCAAAATCTCCATGAGGACTGGCACCACATGTGTCTTTTTTTTTTTTCTAATTTTTACAGATTTTTTATTTATTTGACAGACAGATCACAAGTAGGCAGAGAGGCAGGCAGAGAGAGAGAGGAGGAGGAGGCAGGCTCCCTGCTGAGCAGAGAGCCCCATGTGAGGCTCGATCCCAGGACCCTGAGATCATGACCCCAGCCTAAGGCAGAGGCTTTAACCACTGAGCCACCCAGGCGCCCCCCACGTGGGTCTTCTTGATGCTATATCCCTCCTGCCGGTTACAGAGATGATACCGGATATTTGTGGCATAAATGACTGGTGCATTTTCTTGAAATGTATACTTGATAATTTGAGGAGAAAACCAATTAAAATCATAGCCAATTTAACACATTTTCTTAGTATATCACATGAATATTTACGAAGAACAATGCAAATTTGGGTCAATTTAAAATATAAAATGGAACACTTCAAGTAAATTTGCCCTTGACACTGGTGACTCAGGGTTGATTTATGCATGCCACGTGGTGGTGAATGGGAAAATAAATGTTTCTCAAACTTGTCATTAGTGGTATTTCAGTGAAAAAACTGAAAAGCACTGATTTGAAGGGTTGTCAGGTGAAGTACTAGCAGAGGAAATTTTGGCAGGGAGTAGGGATTTCCTCAGTATTAAAATATGGAGGTAGAGAGGATTGGTGAACTGGGTTGATAGGGTACGAGTAGGATTGGGGTCTTGAGATAGGGTAGAATTAGATACTTGGCTTTATAAAGCTTTTTATGATTTTTGATTGCATCTTTGATCTCCGTTCATATTCAGCGGAATTCCATTCTGTTTCGTTTGGGCGGAAGAAACCCTAGAGAGGAAACTGGCTTTTTCCCAAGGGTTGATGCGCCGCGCATCCCTGCCCAGGGATGTGGCGGACGACAGCACTAGTCAGTGAAGGGACCCCAAAGGGAAAGGAGAAGCCAGGGGGCAGCCTTGAGGACCGGGAGAGCGGCAGGACCACGGGAAGGATACAGGGTTTGGGTAAGCCTGGGGATTCTTTCCTTCAGAGTTTAGGGAGTCCTGTCCGGGATGCGCGAAGGCAGCGGCTGCAGCCCTCATCCCAACACCAGATCTGTACGGAGCAGACACACTGGCATCGACCGCACACACGGCCTCCGAGCCAGGACGCCCGGGGACATTAAAAAGCAACAGCAACAGCGCATGGAGCGTGCCCTTGGCCTCGGGGACAATGCCCCCCACGCGACTGCCGTTGCTCCACCACTTCCGGCCCTCTCGTCCCTCCACGCAGAGACCCAGGAGGGTTCTTGGGCCAGGTTGCAGCTGGGCCACGCTCTGCGCGCTCCCGTCCTGGCGCCCACCCTCAAGGACCCGCCAGGCTGACACTGGCACCCCGCCCAACCGGCGGCGGGCGGGGGCGGTGGGCATGCGCGCAGGACCGGGGCACCCCTCCCTCCAGGCGGTGCGCGGAAGGGGCGGGCGTGGGCACGCGAGAGGCGGGACCCGCGCGCCCGACCTGGGCACCGCTCCCTCCCCGCGGCGCGCGGGGCGGTGGGCGTGGGCACGCGGTGGGCGGGGCCTGCGCGCCGGACCTGGGCCCCACTCCCTCCAGGCGGCGCGCGGAAGGGGCGGGCGTGGGCACGCGAGGGGCGGGGCCTGCGCGCGGGGTCGCGCGCCCTCAGTCCCGGCGGCGCGCGGGAAGTCGCCGTAGGCGGCTTCTCCGGTGGGGAGAGGAAGACTAGGGAGTCGCGGGGCGCGGTGGTGGCCGCCGCTGTGCAGGCGAGTAGCGCGCGTCGGGGCTGGAGCGGCGGCGGGGCAGCGGGGCTTGGGGGCGGCGGGCGCTTTCCTCCTTTTGCTGTGAGAGTCCGCGCAGCCTTCTGCTTTGCTTCACAGTTTCCTTCTGACCAGCTGTTTCTGGGGGAAAAAACCTCAGAACAGAAGCAGGCGGCCGAGACGTCCTGCGCCAGCCTCAGCCGGACCCGCGGAACCCATGCTGATACTTTCGGTTTGGGTTTTCGTGTTTGGCCGGCGTCTTGGCCAGAAGCGGGTTTGGATAAGAGCACTTCGGACCCGCAGCTCTGAGCCCGTTGTCAGGCCGTGAACGGAAGAGGGGAAAGGACTGTCAGGGCAGGAGAGGAGGCCCTTGAACGCTCGGAAGAGCGTGTTGGCCGGACACGGAGCCGAGTAACTGTCTTTTCTGTCTCACTGATACCGGACCGCCTCGCTCGCGCGTCCGCTGTGCAGAGCCTAAGTCACGCTTAGGTGGCGGAGTCACGGGCACCTGGTCTGTGATCATTTGCTCCTCGTGATGCTTTTATTTATTTAACAAGGACCTGCTCCTAAACCTCTTCGTCCTTGAACACCCCCTCGCCCCGACGTCCCCTGCGAGGTCCCAGCTGTCCCTTTATTTAAGAACAAAACAAAAAGCAGCACTCTGTTTGAATGGAAGCCTTGCTCCCCAGCGTCAGGTTCCACGCCGGTCTCCTCCTGCGCCCTCTCTTCGCAGGCTGCCTCCACCACCCCCGGCGCCCTTGTGAAGTCTGGGGTCTGTGCAGGTGTTCACCTTCCTACACCACGCGGTTGCTTGCTCCCTGGTCTTCCATGTTTCTTCTTCAGTTGGCTTCCAGGTCGCCACATTCTCCCGCATTTCCTTCCTTCTCCCCGGCCCGTCCTCCTGCGTCTCTAGGTTTCTGTTTCTTTTCCCAGCGGCTGAATGTTAGCGGGCGAGCCGCAGCGCCCGGTGCTTGGACATAGTTTCTTTCTAGCCATACTTTGTCCCAAAGCAGTTTCCATCCCCAGTCCTCTCTCAGGACTGTAAATAACATCCATAATAAGCTGGTGCCTCCCAGTGTTTCGCTTTCCTTCTGTCCCGAGTTCCAGATGCATATTTCTAGCTGTTTCCTTAACAGCTCTGCTTAGAAGTCTGATGGGCATTCGAGTTTAGGATGTCCAGACAGAATCTGGGGGGTACCACACCCACCCAGTCCGCCCTTTTGTTTCTCCCTCATTGACCTTCCTTACCACACTCGAGGTTCCTGCGGTTTTCTTAGCTCAGATCCAACATCCAAGCAGCCAGCCAATTCTGCTAGCTCTGCCTTGAAGAAATATCTCCAATCTGACCACATCTCAGCCCCTCTCCAACAAAAACCACAGTAACCTCTTACCTAGATGACTGTTAAGTCTCTGATTTGGTCTTCCTGCTTCTGCTCTCCTTCCTCTATGGTCTCTGTCCAAACAGCAGTGATTATTTTTTTTAAGATTTTATTTATTTATTTGACACAGAAAGAGATCACAAGTCGGCAGAGAGGCAGGCAGAGAGAGAGGGGCAAGCAGGCTCCCTGCTGAGCAGAGAGCCCAATGCGGGTCTTGATCCCAGGACTCTGAGATGGTGACCTGAGCCGAAGGCAGAGGCCTAACCCACGGAGCCACCCAGGAGCCCCAGACAGCAGTGATTTTTTTTTAAAAAATATCATCAGAACTTTCACTTCCCTTCAAAACTTTCTGGTACCTTCTGATCAAAATCATGAAAACTGGACTCTTGCGATGGCTTCAAAGCCCTGTGTGATCGAACTTCCAAAAACTTTTCTGATCTCGGCTCTCCCCTTGGTCCTTGCTTACTCCGCTAAGTGACCTTGACCTCACTGCTGTTCTTTTTGCCTACAGTGGGCCTGGGCTGCACCCTCACAGGCTGCCGACCTTCACTCACCTCGCTTCCCTGTTGAAATGCTATCTGGGATTACTGCCTTTTTGGCTATTTTATCAGCCCTTTGCTCCTGACCTTTGGTGCCGGTTGTTGTTAGATACTGATTGTTATTCTCTAGTGTTCCACGAAGCATGGACCCCTTTAAGCCCTTGTTGGCGTCTAGGGTTCTCTAATATTAAAAATGCACAACCATGTTAGTCTTGAGCCTCATTTTGATAAGACGTACAGTTTGTTGTTATAGTCAGCGTTTTTATAAAATGTGCTTCCTGATTTGGAGAAGTTTTCCTTTAAATATAGAAAATGAAAGAAAAATGTTCTCTTTGCCGAAAGGAATGTGCAGTAATTTTTTTTCAATTCCTTCATCTCATTAGGAAATGATAGTTGCTCATTTGGAGGTTTTTTTGAATGGCACCAGGAATAAGTAGTTTTTTTGTTTGTTTGTTTAAGATTTTATTTATTTCCTTGACAGAAAGAGATCACAAGTAGGCAGAGAGGTGGGGGAGGGGGAAGCAGGCTCCCTGCTGAGCAGAGAGCCTGATGCGGGACTTGATCCCAGGACCCCAGGATCATGACCTGAGCCAAAGGTAGACGCTTAGCAGACTGAACCACCCAGGTGTCCCAGGAATAGGTAGTTTCAATGGGAAGAAGAAAACGAAGGCACTTGTTCGGGGAATATTATACACGTTTCTGAGTTGTGTGGTGACTAAGTCAGTATCAGAATATCAAGAATTTGTAGTGAAATTCGGGTCTCCTTTTAAGGTAAGTGGGGATAGAAGTGAAAAACAATATTTTTATTATTAGGAAAGGCTTTTGGGGGATAAAAGACTGTTTAATGTTTAATGCTTCTTTATCACTTTCCTCCCGAGGAGCTAGGTCTGTGATGACATCAGTAGCATGTGTACCTACTTTCCCTTCGTTTATTTATTTATTTAAAAAAATTTTTTAAAAAGATTTTATTTATTTGACAGAGACACAGCGAGAGAGGGAGAGTGGGAAACAGATTCCCCACTGAGCAGGGAGCCCGACGTGGGTGGGCTCGATCCGATTCCAGGACCCTGGGATCATGACCTCAGCCCAAGGCAGGCTTTTGACTGACTGAGCCACCCAGCCGTCCCTTTTCCCTTTTAAAAGAGAAGACACAAAAGCTCTCATTTCAGAATTGGGATTTCAGGTGCTTGAATAAATATGTAAAATGGAGGATTAAATAAACATTTCCAATGAGGGCATTTGGAGTACGGAACAAACCGAAGATAAGAACAGGTCAGTTAAGGCGAAGCCAGGAGTGACGTTAAAATCAGAACATCTGTCATAAGCTGCTGTGTTGAGCACTCCTTAACCTGGAGCTTCCCAGCAGCGGAGAAAGGAGGCCACACAGCTGAAAAGCAGGTGCCCTCGAAGATCCGTGCGTGTATTTTTGTGTTTATACCTTGCAGAAACAAAAGTTTTTGCGTTCGTTTCTGTTGTTTTATAAGTGATGACACATTGACTTGCTCTAAGGACCTGTTTTCAGAACAAGGGAGGTACATATTCTGCCTTCTGGTGCTTTACCATAAAGTAGAAATTGGAGGGGCCCTGTTTTGATTTAGAATTAGCAATCCTGGACTCTGGGGAAGTTTGTATACACATTCAAAAAACGGAGAGCAGGGGCGCCTGGATGGCTCAGTGGGTTAAGCCTCTGCCTTCGGCTCAGGTCATGATCTCAGGGTCCTGGGATCGAGCCCCGCATTGGGCTCCCTGCTCATAAAATCTTTAAAAAAACAAAATAGGAGAGCAGACAGTTAATCATGGAGATGGGCTAAAGCCATCTGGAATGTGCAGATATGGCCCATAAGCAATATATCTGGACATCAAGTTCATATGACTTCTATTTAAAAGTACAAAAACCTCGAAAACCATTTTTTTTGAAGATTTTATTTATTTATTTGACACACAGAAATCACAGGTAGGCAGAGAGGCAGGCAGAGAGAGGGGGGGAAGCAGGCTCCCTGCTGAGCAGAGAGCCCTATGTGGATGCTGGATCCCAGGACCCTGAGATTATGACTTGAGCCGAAGGCAGAGGCTTTAACCCACTGAGCCACCCAGGTGCCCCCATTTTTTTTAAGTTACTAAAAAACCTCCCCCCACACTGTTTGCATTATCATTGTAGAAAAAGAAGATATATAGAGAGATGCATATAGATATATGTATATTCACACCTCTGCCGCACACAGATAACCAATGATATCTTTTTGGTGTACTTTTTTCCCATCTGTTTTCTCTACAGCATGTTTCACAAAGCTGATATCATACTATAGATGAGATCAGACTGTATAGGCTACTTTTGTTCACTTATAGAAACATTTTCTCAGGTCCTTAAAATTATTTCCAGCAAACTTTTTTAAAAAAGATTTTATTTATTTATTTAGAGAGCACAAGCAAGGGGAGGGGCTGTGGGAGAGGGAACCCTGACTTTTTTCTAATTATGCTTGTCTTTCATCAGTATTTGGACATTTTGATTGTTTACCTCCAGTAGAACTTCAACTAGCCTCTGATACTGTGTCCACATTCTCTAATAATAAGAAAATACAGTCCTCTGCCTCAGACGTCAGAATTGCAATGACACGTTCCCAGAGATCCTGTGAGAGGACAAAGTTGAGCTAACCTGAGGAATTGAAAAAAGAGACCATGTGTAGGGAACTGGGGGAACATGGGGAGAGAGACATGAGAGGAGGCTGGAGGAAGGAGCCTGATCAAGCAGTGTCTCGCCGTTTGCCATCTTAAGAAATTCTGTGGGAGATAACGAGGCTTTCAGGTGCTGATCACTTTGTAGTGCATATAGATATTGAATTATAATCCTGTACATCTGATACTTGCATAATTTTAAAAAATTGTTGTTAAGTCTAAGAGCAGTAGGAAGCCCTTGCAGAATTGTAAAGGGGAGTAATGTCATTGACGGGTGTTTTTCGTGAAGATCATTGTGGCAGCCACGCGGGGAAAGGAGCAGGCTGGCTGGGAGAGTGTGTACCAGACCAAGAGGGAAGCAGGATTGTGGAAATGTGTTGATCCAGAGCCAAAGCGGGTGCAGAAGGACCGTGGG